CCAGATTCTTTCCATGTCTATATAATTTATATACATATTCTATACCATCCCAATTATTGACAATACCATTATCAATTGGATACTTAAGTGCTAAAACACCTCTTTTAGCTTAAGCCTCATCTCCAACATAGGCTTCCTTGCTGTCCATACCAACCATAATTCCTTGATGTTTAGGTCTTCCTACAACTGCAGGGAAACAGCATCTTGGAGCATCATCTCCTGCTATACCGGCTTTGCATTATCCTGATCCGTTATCAATAACAACTGCTGGGTGTTCTTCAGCCATGTGTTTACAGATAAATAAAAGATATTATTGATTTCAATAACATTTCTCTCACCTTTTTCTATAGCAAATTAAATCAATTATATCTTGTCACATACGTACCCCCAAAATATTTATTAATTATAACATATTATATGTATATTACACAACCTCCTACATTCCATTTTTTATAAGAAGTAAAATTTAATCATTTCGCGCATCCTATTCAAAAATCCAGTTTTATATTAAACAAAACAATTCCTAAACTTAAAATAATTATTCTCTTTTTATTTATAAATTATATAGAATCGAGAATTTCATTCTTTTTTAAACTAAATTATTCATACAAACATTAAATCAATTTATTTACTAAATATTTTCATTTCTTCCTTCTTTTATTTAAATTTACTAATATTATAAATTATCGTACTACATCTTCTTTAAATTAATCAAATCCTCAAATTTATCAATTTTTTTATGATTTTTACTCAGTCCTTCATATCTACAATCAATATTCTTTTATTTTATTAACAATTGCTAAATTAAAATCATTTGATTTCAGATCGTTTTTATATGAATTTTTGCATAAAGACATTAAAATCCATACTTTATTCTCTGATAACTCTTTATCAACCAATATTTTACAAGATATGAGAAATTAAGCAAAAATAACTTTCATATTTTTACTGAGATATATCTTGATAAATATTTAAACAAAAAATAAAAAAAGATAGAGGATCAAAGACATTCGCAACTTAATTTTTACATCTAACTCCTAATACTTTTGAATAATAAAAAAATATACTTTATAATTATGTATTGAGTGTAATATTTGAAAATATTTATAAGTATAAAAAATAGGCAAAAACTAAAAACCGCGAAAATTTATAACAGAAGTTGCCACATACGCAAAAGAGGGATACTCTGCCTATAAGCTAGAAATTAATTTTCAGTATCTAAAACTCAAATCAACTAAGTGATTAAAGTAGAGATTTATTTCAAATGATATCAATTATTAGAAATTTATTCAAGAAATTCATTCAGTTTAAAAATAATAATATATATTATCAATTAAATAGTAGGATGAAATTATTATTAAATTAATATTTACTAAGAATAAGAGAGAATTATTCTCGAGGTAATTTGGTTAATTAAAGTGAGTATCTTTAAATCAATTGATTGAAAATAAATAGATTTAATAAATATTAAATTAATGGAATCATATAGAAGAAAAGTATATTTCAGATTAAAATAATTAAAATCATGATAAATCAGTTAATATTCTCTAGGTTTAGCAAAAAAAATTTTATGAGGATTCATAAAGATGGAGTTTAAGAAATATATTATTTATAGTTGTCTCAATCCGTATTTAAATTAAGATAAATTTAGAATTCTCTTAATATCCAAGTTTTTTTTTGTAAAATTTCCTAATATAAGTTAAAATCTTTTTAATAAGCAAAAAAATTAATCATAAAAGAATTCCTTATTTTAAAAAATTATTTGCGTATTTGATTCTTCACAATTGTTGAATTAGCTTCTTTCCATCAATTTTTGTTTTAAATAATAAAATTGCAAAATAGATCACAGTTAATCAAATAATATTTATGAATATTAAAAATGTAAACTTAACAGAAATTACTTACGAAGATACATGGACAATATACTGATAAATATCAGCTAAAAATTATATTTTTTCATATTATTTCAAAAGTGGTATTACTAATATTATTTATTTGTTTCTTTTTTCTACATAATGAATAAAATATTATAATATCAATCAACAATGAATTTATAAATAATTTTTATAAGATGCGTATATGATTTAGAATCCTTAAATTTTTATGTGACACAAATGTACATAAAATTATTCAATATTTATCATTCCCCCAAGAATATTCCATAAATGGTGTTAGCAATACACATCCTACTCAAAATATGTATATAAGAAATATATAGTCAGATTTTACAGAGGATATAAATATATACTTAAATATAATTTTCTTCAAAATTAACAGTTAACCCAAGAAAGTAATAAAATATAATGACCATTTAATTATGAATGATGAATATAGAAGATAGAAATGTGTAAAGCATAATAATAAGTATACTAGTCATGATTTGAAAGCTATTGGCTTACCACAAGAAAAGATTCTGGAAAATATAAAGACCAAAATTTGATTTAATATACCTTATTCATTTATGTATCCCACTTATACGAAATTTATTACCCCAGAATTTGAAAAAGAAATACCTAATAAATAAATACTTAGAGAAAAAAATGATTCGAGATAGTATTCACTTTTAAAAAAATCATAATACTACTTTTCCATATAGAATTTAGTTGTATCTATCTCTTAAAGTGTTTAATTATTAAATAGAATAATTAAAGAGTATTTAATTTACAGTTCCTTGTGATTTATCAAAATAAAAGGATAAGTTGGATCATCATTACTAATCACTTGGAGAGTTAAAATACGTTTAGTTAAAATATATAAAAAAGTTTATGCTATTATCTTTCTTAAGCTACTTAAGAATTTTAGATTCTCTGATAAAATTTTTATTGTCTATATTGCCAAAAATAAAAATTAAACCACTATTCATCTTATTATCAATATTAGTAATAGGGAGCTTTAAAGATTATTAATTTCTTTTGATTTTGATATTATAATTTTTAAGAATAAATAAAGTAATTTAAAATGTTAATTTATCATTTTTAATTTAGTTGAGCATTCATTATTAATTTTGTTATAATTTATGATTGACACAGGAAAAACAAATAAGTATTTGCACACTCCATTTGAAATGCTATTAATGGTGTTAATTACTGCAATTTCTAATGGAATTATGATACCTTAAATAATTTACACATACAAAGTTAAGAATGCTCATACATTTTTTTTATCTGTATTATTGTTAGTGTCCTCATTCATGTATCATTTTTCTGATAGTATAGGAGTTGAGCCAATCATCCTAAAAGAAGTTGATTGGCATCAATTAGATAATATTGCATCAATTTGTGGATTGGTATTTAAATAATCTTAAATTTAGATGGAATTATTCAATTACTTAATGCAAAATGATAGAAGCATTAGAAAGTCAATTTAATGGATTAATTTTATTTTTGTTGTAATAATACAAGAATCCCATGCATGGAATGTTTGGGCAACAGTAATTCCAATCTTGATAAGTCTCATCATGTTTATAATAAAACAAACATTTTATCCTAAGAAAGGTTAAATTGTTAATTAGGATTATCTTAAGAAAGGAATATTTTTCTTAATTATTGGTTTCGTTGCATTTTACTTTGGTTTAGAGGAATATAATGATTATTTAAGACTTTGGCATGGCTTATGGCATTTAGCGATGAATCAAGCTTATTTTCATTTATATCAAGTATTTAACCCAAAAGTTTATACCTTTTTAGAGTGTTGGGATTTAAAATAAGAGTATGCAAAAGAGTGAGAAAAATATCTATATTAAAAAATTAACAATTTTATATATTTTTTTTTTATTTTTTTCAAACAATACATCTAATTTTAAATTTTCAGAATAAGCTATTTTAATTTTTAAATGCTTAATTTATTAAATCTAAAATTATAACCAAATATGATAAATTTATACTTTTATATCTTATTTAAAGTCAACTTGATAAATAATATGATATTAATTAAATGCATTTTTATAAAAGGGAAAAAAGAGTTAATAGAGTATTAAAGTAATAAATTTAATTTTGTTTCAAATTATTTTAATAGATTAATAAATAAATAAATGAATAAAAAAAATAAATAGATTAAAGATGAATTATAGATGAAATACCTAGATAAAAATTGAGTTATGGTAAATTAAATATCTTATTTAATTATTAAGAATTGAGAGAGAATTAATTGATATAAAATAATAATTCTTAAAATTAATTGATAGAGTGAGTTTCAACGAACTTTGCATCTTTGAGTCCAGTATCCTATCTCTTGTTCTTATTATTAGATAAGTTTATTTAAGTTAACTTTAATTTCTAATCTTCTCAAAGGAGAAGGAGCCATAGATGGATTTGATAGGGATCTCAAAAGCATAGAAGGAGAACATGTACTTAATAATATTATAATTAAGATACTTTTATATTGTAGTTGGAGATGACATCTAAGAAGGGTTTTTTTTAAATTGTTTTGGCTCCCTATTAAATTTAATAGCTTACCAAATAAACTTGATATTTTTTCTTTTTTTCATTTTCTTTTTCAAATGTACATGATTAAGCTGGACCTGTTTAAGTTAGAGGTATAACACTTTTAAAAGAAGCATGAAATTAGTAATTGTCAGATTTATTTTTTGACTTTTTCATGTTTGATATTAATTTAATTAGCATTTCATCTGTAATTTATTTTTTTAATGAAGCAACATCAGGTCTATTAGTACCAATACCACAACTGGAAGCAAAAGCAGCAGCAGCAGCAGCAGCACAACGCGTTTCATTACGTTCTGTTAATATTTCTTTAACTTAAAAACGTTTTTACAATATTTAATCATATTTTTTCATTAAAGATTAAATGCTTGTTGATTTATTGTTAGGTAGTGTGGTTGTGGAAGATTTAGCACTTTCTTAAAGTTTTAAAGGTGGAATAGGAATTTTCGATTGTTAAGGCTATTAAATCGATTAATTTTTCTTTTTGTTAGAGCTAAATGTAGGTTTCTTTTTAAGAGGTATTTTAGTAATTGATGATAATTACCTAGATGTTTATGTATTAACATCACAAATAATATTATCTATTTCTTAATCATGATCACAATTAAATAATTTATTTTGATCACCAGAAATGTTTAATATAGGACATTATTAAGATGTTTTTTATTTTGGTTGTGACTACTATGCTACAGTTTATGAAATGTCATAGATGTTATGCGATTTACTGTCCCATGAAATTTGTTCCTTGGGATAGGAACTAAATAAGTATGTCGATACTACTCAGATACAGATTCAACATAATTTTCACTAAATATATGATCTGGAATCATCTTTTTAGTGATTGGTTGTTGATTCTAATTATTTTATGCTTTTTATTGTAATTTTAGTAATTTATTGATTCTTTTCTCCATAAACTTATGAGCTTTGACTTTACATAAATTAGGTTAGGGAATCTTAAAAAAGATTAATCAACATAAATCTATTACTTTATTTGACTCTTGATAAAAATCACTTAGTAATTTCAATCTTGGATCTTGTTCTTCTCTTTAATAATATCGCTTCATATATTCATTTTCATCATGCAAATATAATTAGTCTTTAAATAGAATTACATGATCTACAGGAACATTTGCTAATATTTCTGTTATAGGCTTAGCAAAATAAAAATTGAACTACTCAAAATATCTATTATTTCATATCTGTCAAAATACTTCTTATGTATTTCTTTCTTAATTAAATTATTATGATTTATCTTGCAAAACTAACACTTGACATTATTAAGTTGGTTATTCATTAAATTCAAAAAATAAATAATCAAATTTTATTAATATTCTTAACAATATATTATTTAATCAAGACTTCGAATATTTAATCCTTTTCATCTCTTTGTCTTTTATTTCTTTCTCAATTTCTAATTTTCTAGCATTCTTTTCTCTTTCTTTAAGAGATTATCTTTCATCATTTCTAAAAATAGATAAATTTTCTTACTCTATCATTAATTTTCTTTACTTTTGTTCTTCCTCTATAAATTCTTACATTTTTCTTTTCATCTCTAATTCTTATTATATTTGATTCAACCTTTAATTAATTTCCAATTATTTCATTAAATGTTCTCCTGCTTTTTCTTCTTAAAATATTTTGACTCTTCTTTCTCTTAATCTTTAAGCTTCTGCTTAACTTTAAGATCTTCTTTCAAATTAATATTTAATCAATTATTCTCTACTTGCATCTTCTATTGCTTTATTCTACTATATTATAATAATATTTACTATTTAAATCTAATGTATTTTATCTTCTTTTTCTTTATTAATTTTTGTCTAATATTTTGCAAACACTTTTTTATATTTATCCATATAAGCAAGCTTTTTCTTTTCTTTATTTTCAAATTTTTCTCTTCTTTGAAGATCTTAAGAAACTAAAATTTACTTAAAATATAAAAGAACTTTACGTTAGCTCTTTCAATTTTGCTTTGTTTTACTTCACTCTATTTTTATAACTATTATTTAGTCCATTCTTTAGATTCCTAGATATACTTCAACTTATGTAAATTCTACTATTCTTTCTTCTCAGATTATTCTTTTTAATATTAATTAAATTTATCTTTATCATTTAAGGCTCCCATAGACTTTTATTAAATCTTTTAAAAATGTTCTTCTTTATTTTACTTTTATTATTCATTAAAGTCTTTTAATAACTACATCTATTTTTATAATTATAATTCTTTTCTTGATATTTTTGATTCTAAATTAGTTTATCTTTAGATTTAATCTTTTAATACTCTTTCTTTATGTAATTAAAGTCTTTTAGAATTGCCATCTTCTTATTCTTTTAATACTCTAGATTACCATAATTAAAATTCTTGAAGATTCATCTCAGCCTTTTTTTATTTAACATCAATTTCATATCTAAATTTCTAAAACTCTTTTTCATCTTCTATTAATTTTTTTTATATTGAATATTATTTTTCTATCCATTTTTAATTATGTGTTTATATTTATTAATCTCTTTATGCTCGATAAAATTGAAAACTGCTTTAATACATTCTTGTTTAGCCATCACTTGTACTAGATAATAATCCTCCTGTCTAAGCCATTATATCTGTTGGTGCTGTTTCTGGTTTAATATTTGGTTAACTTTAAAGTCTTAAAAATCTTTGTGATTTCTATCTTAACTATTCTAATTTATCTATCTCAAACATAATGGAATTTATATGCATGTCAATATTTTTTACTAAGTTCTAAAAATGATCATTGCTCCTTTCATATGGTTCTACTTCCTTTCTCAATTAACCAAACTATATTATTCTAACTTTTACATCCTAAACCAAAGTTATTCTTTTCTCTATTTTAGATTATGATATTTTATTTATCTTTCGTATTTTCTCCAAATCATCCCATTTAAATCCTTCTATGTATAACAAATGGGTTATTGATTTATCATTCTCTAATTCCTCACTATTACGTTTCTCTAATTCCTAATATCTTTCAACCAATTATTCCATTTGATTATCTCAAAATCAAATAAATTATTAATAATCAATTATAAATTCTGGAAAATACATAAATCATTAATCAGAACTTCTAAAATACATCTCTATTAATTTTGCTATTCTACCACAAACCTCATAAGGATCTAAATATTCTTATAAATCTTCTCTCTTTTCCTTTAATTCTTTATCTAGTTATATTAGTTCCTCTGGTTAGAATCTCAATTTATCAATATTAATTTATTAATCATCTTCTGTTTTATTATTTATGAGTGATTTAACTTCATCCACTAATTTGCACATCATTTTACTGATTTTTTCTTTAAATCGATATTAGAATCTCCCTTTAATCCAATCAATCTGATTAGAATTATTATCCATTCTTTTTGATGTGGTTTAATTGTGTTTGTTAAAAATCTAAATATTTTCAGAACTTTTACCTATTCTCTTAATTGATAATAATGTCTCAACATTAAAATATCAATTTCACAAACTATTCTCATACCCTCAGCAGCAAGACTTTTTAAAGGCATAGCCTAAAAAGCATTACTTTAAGGCATCAATTATGAATGCAGTAATTAATCAGCAATTGTTGTATTGTATTAATTACTAATAAAGAAGTTTGAAAAGTTCGGCATTAATGAAACACTTGGATTGTGGAACATAGTTTGAGGATTTGGATATCTAAGAACTTACAATTCTAAATTATCTTTATTTTCCAATATTCTTGAATCTAAAATACTAAAAGCTTCTGAATGCTTAGTTAATGTACTTTCTTAGGCTAAAAATACATTTAAAATTTACTTCTTAGAGATTTTGGGCCTGGTTGATTTTATTTATTATTCTACATATTTTATTCAATATTTCCATAAATTTCATTTAATTTGCATTAAAAAGGGGATTATATCTTAATTTTCTTAATAATAAAATTTAAACATACCCTACCATAACATACTGATAAATTTTATATAAAATTATGTATATTATTTACATAACTTGATTTTTCATTAAAATTAACTTGATTTTTATAAAAATCATTAATAAAAAGATCCTAAAATATATATTAAATAAAATAATTATTTCTTTAAAATCCCCATTTTAAAGAAACATATAAAAAAGCATCATGCATTTACATAAATACATCATACCACAAACAATTTTATAAAAGGTGAATTTTCAATACTTAAATATTTTTATATAACATCATAATCCCTAAATACAATAAATTTATGTTATGTTCATTGCATTATTTTCAAACATTTTTCACCTATTAAAATATTTAATAAAATATGAAGCTTGTAAATCAGTCTTGTTCTATGAAATGAATGTCTAAATCTTTGAAAATAGCTCAAAGATTCTAGGAAAAGGGTTATTTATTGATTTCTTAGGATTATTATCATAATATTGATCATCACTTTCATTTGATTAGAATGAGATATAAATATTCCCATGCTTTTTTGATGCAATTTAGGAATCAAAACTAAGAGCGGTTAATCATAAATAATATAAATAATCATATGTCTTAATCAGAGATGAATTAGTAGAAGTCTAAAAAAGAGTAATAATCGAAAAAATACAGAATACTTAGTTTTGAAGATAAGTAAAAAATAATGAAAGTTTTTTTGTGGTAGAAAAAAGCTTAATCTAGAAGCCGAGAAAAAGTTATGTGTTTGGATAGTTGAATAGAGTGCTAAATAAGGAAAAAGAGTGAGGAGAACTTAATTAAAAGACTAAGCAATATCTTTATTTAATGATAAATACTTTAAAGCCTCAAAAGCTTGGTAAGATGAGTTTATCAGAAATTATGATATTAAATATTAAGTTAATGAAATTTTATACAAAAAAGGTATGTTAAACACGCTTTAAAAATAAAAATTCTTAGAAATGTATGAAAATAGAAAAGCAGAGATTAATCAAAAGAATTATGAAAATAATTCTCAAATTCCAACTTAAACTAAATCTGAAGAGAAAAATTATTTATGTTATACGAGTCCTTTTTGTCAAGATGACTATTAATGGTTTTAAACACCTTAATTTGATATTAAATTTGAAGAATCATTTAATTAATAATAATTTGAAGTATCTCCAGAAATAAATCCTCTAAATGAAGATTCCTGGGACTATAAAATAAATTAAGTTGAATCAGAAGTCTCTGAATTTGAAGGATTCCCTTCCTCAAAGAAAACTAAAAAGTAATAGAAAAAGAAAAGAATTTATTGATTAGTATCCATAATATTAATTATTAATATTTAATTGAACTTAAAATAGATGATTTAATAGATTAAAATCCTATTATTGATATCATTTAAGTCTCTTGAAGTAGCATTTTAGTATTCTTTATTAGATACTTCATTATTTGAAATACTAAATTGTGTATTTTTTGTTTTTAATTAATTAGAAAAAATTTAAAACCTAACCTATTTGGTTCCTTATCTGTTTAAATAAAACCATAAGTTCATAGAATGAAAATAATATTATAGAATAATCTAATTTTCTCATTCTAATTTTGTTAAATCAGATTAGGTGGGAATTTTTAATTGTAATCCGAACAATATATTATTTATTAATTTATAATCTCTCTTTCTTTATTAATTTTAGTTCTCTATTCTATTTACTTTCTTTTTTCTAAAATTACTTGTATTCATAAAAAAGATACATTTTTAAATAGGAGAATTATATATAGATATTATCTTGACTTAATTTAAAATAATTTATAAGAGTAAAAGTGCAAGTAATAGAATATTGTTAAAAATTTCCAATTTAAGCTAAGATGATCTTAATAAATAATTCTGGAATGTTTTTATTACTTTAGATTAAATATCATTTATTTCTTAACAAAAATAAATTAATCATGTATAAATTTAGCTAATTTTTTAATCAAATTTCATATTAAGAATTGTTCTTTTTTGAAGGGTATTGAATATTATTCAACAAAATTTTTCATTTTGAAAACTTAGAAAATTAAAATTTTCTTAATTTTTATTTTCTCAAAAATTTCAAATCTATCTCTTAGATTACACAATCTTGAAAAGAACTTAATATTTAAATTTTAGTAATTCTAATCTTTAATTAATTTTTAAATAATTAGATTTCTAATGATTGAAATATTTTTTATTAAATTGTTAAAAATAATCATAAATTTATTTTCTATTAGCTTTATAGAATGCTTAAAGTTTCTAATCAAATTTAGTCATCTTATCTGTTATGTAGAGTATTAGAATAAAGATTAAAATATTAAAAATTCTCTAAATCATAAGAGGATATGATTTCAGTTTAATTTTCTCTATAAAAATAAATTTTTTATGATCTTTTAAAGTAACTCAATAGAAATTATAAATCATAGGATTTATAAAAATGTTCCATGAAAATTTTAATAGCCTTTCTAAAGCTTTGCTAATTTACAATTTTTAAAACTTGTTAGATCAAGAATTCAAATTTTTCATATAAATCAATTCATTTTTAAAATTCTTTCTTTTTAATAAAAAATAGAATTCTCTCATATATAGAATTAATAGTCTAAATTTGCATAAATTTATTCTCTTTTAATTTCTTAACATTAAATTCTCTTGGATCAAAATCAATAACAGAAAGTTCCAAATTTAACCATTCTTAATTCCATTTTCATCATAATTAAAATTCCAAAAAGTTCCATTTTTAATTAATTTTGAAGTTGAAATTAAAAATAAATTTCCTTTTTATCTATTTTGAATTATAGATTTTAAAATCATATGATTTATTTCTTAATGTTTTAATATTTTTTTACATTAAACTATATCATTTATATCTTTTGGATTTCAGATTTTTTTTGATACTATTTTAATTATCTCAGGGTAATTTTAAATTCTTCATAGTTTTCTCAAAAATTTTTTATATTGTTATTAAATATGTTTTACCTTTCAATTTATATCTTATATTGATTTTATTTCTCAATCTTTGTTTTACTATTGAAATCAAATTAGATAAATTTAATTTAACTTATTTAAAATTATTTAAGGCTCATTATTAAATTCTTAGACATCTCCAACCGCTATAATCAAAATTGTTTATCAATAAATCTCATAATAAATAATTATTCGTGAGATGAGATCCTTAAAAGTTTATTTAAATTTACTAATGATTTATCAATTGTTATTTTAATTTTTATTTCCGTTTTTATGGTTCATCTTAAATTTTAGCCTAAATTCAACCTATATATATGCTTTTATATTCTTCGCTCAAAATAAATTAGGCCTCTTAAAATTCCATAATATTAAATTTGCTATTGCTAAAAGATCCCCAAAAATCATTATTATTTGATCTGATCTTCTAAATTCAAATTTCAATTAAGATTTTTCATGAAAATCAAAAATGTTTATAATTCTTAATGATTAGATATTCTTACTCTAAATTATGATTGGAAGGAAACTTTGGATTCACTTAAAAAATCAGTTTAGTTATTATTTAAATTTATTGAAATAAATTTTTAATGATATAAGAAAGAAAGATTGATTACAGTAATTTAATTAAAAGAGTTTGTAGAAAAGTTCTTTTAAAATTATATTTAATAAATTTTTATAATAATTTACAGAACTACAGAAGAAAGAAAATATAATTAATCAATTAGTTGAATTGAGATAAAACTAAAATTTTAATTACAGAAGTATTATTTAGTAACCTAAATATATATTAATAAGAAAATTTACATTAAATTATTTATTTGTTCTAAAATTAAAAAAAAAAATCAAGTTGATTTTTATTTGCTTTAAATTTTGAATTTATTATTTTTTATATTTATCAAAGATTATATAAGAAATAAATGCCTCAGGTAAAAGTTTAATAAAAATAGTTTAGTATTATTTTAAAAATAATTATATGGATTTAAATATATATATTAAGATTTAAAAAATCAATTAATTTAATTTCTAAGCATAAGAATATGTGGTTCTGGTTTGAATAAGTCGTAATGAACCCAATCAGGAGATCCTTTAATACCAAGACTTCTTTCTACTTATTAAGTAAGTAGTTTTCCTAATTTTATATTTTTTTATATAATTTGTGTCTATCTCTATATATTTTAGAGGAAACAATATCTGTGGTGCACAGAGGCATACTAAAAATATGAAAAATAAATTTAGAGAATGTAAATTAATACTAAATTTTACTAAATTTGTTAGTTAATTTGGGTAACTATTAGTGAAAAGTAACTCTAAATTTAAAAAATAAAAAATTTGATAATAATATATTAAAAATACTAGAATAATTTATGTTTATAATTTGATTAATTGAATGAAATCAATAATCATCATCAGAATTGACTTTTTCAACTTCTTGAGGTTTTTGATAATGTTTATCTTAAAAAAATTGATCATCAACAGCATTAAGATCATCTTTATTGTACACAGTATATTAATTCTCTTTAATGGTAATGAGATGGTTTAAATTATTTTTTTAAACAATCTGAATCTCAAAAGTTACTTTTTCCATAGTTTGTTCTTGTGATTTTGATTGAAGAGTTTAGTCTTAAGGCAATTGAAGATTTTAAGTTTCTTAAATATAAGGTTCGCAAAAAACTTTTTCTTTCTTCTTATTATGTTCTTGTTTAATAGTACAACAACCCATTTCTAAAATTTATAAAAAAATATATATTAAAACTCATAATTCTTTAAATTAGTGTTATTTTTGAGGATTAAAATCTTGTTTTGCATATAAAATAGGAAAACAAATTTTGGTATGTTATTTACAATAATCATGAAAGATGAGACTGGATATTTATATTTATTGATTCTCTCTTTCATTTACTCAAGTCTAATAGGAAATTCATAGAACTATTCTTAAAATTTTGAAAAAAGATTCCATAAACTAAACTTATAAATAATTATTACGTATCTCTCAAGATTGATAATCTTAAAAATAACCTTTTAAAAATGAGTATTTTAATAATTAGTTTTCAGATAGAGGTCCTTTTCCCCCATTAATTTTACCTTTAAATCATTCAGAGTATTTAAGGAGACCATTTATACATATCCTTCCAAGTTTAATATGGATTACCAAAAGCATTACCTACACCAATATCTTAATATAAAGGATGATAATCATGAAGAATAAAATTATTTCATCTATTTGATAGTCTTTTTTGAACCCCATCAATGAATGATATCAATATCATCTGCTGGTTATTTATCATTCTTATTATANTAGTATTATTTTAAAAATAATTATATGGATTTAAATATATATATTAAGATTTAAAAAATCAATTAATTTAATTTCTAAGCATAAGAATATGTGGTTCTGGTTTGAATAAGTCGTAATGAACCCAATCAGGAGATCCTTTAATACCAAGACTTCTTTCTACTTATTAAGTAAGTAGTTTTCCTAATTTTATATTTTTTTATATAATTTGTGTCTATCTCTATATATTTTAGAGGAAACAATATCTGTGGTGCACAGAGGCATACTAAAAATATGAAAAATAAATTTAGAGAATGTAAATTAATACTAAATTTTACTAAATTTGTTAGTTAATTTGGGTAACTATTAGTGAAAAGTAACTCTAAATTTAAAAAATAAAAAATTTGATAATAATATATTAAAAATACTAGAATAATTTATGTTTATAATTTGATTAATTGAATGAAATCAATAATCATCATCAGAATTGACTTTTTCAACTTCTTGAGGTTTTTGATAATGTTTATCTTAAAAAAATTGATCATCAACAGCATTAAGATCATCTTTATTGTACACAGTATATTAATTCTCTTTAATGGTAATGAGATGGTTTAAATTATTTTTTTAAACAATCTGAATCTCAAAAGTTACTTTTTCCATAGTTTGTTCTTGTGATTTTGATTGAAGAGTTTAGTCTTAAGGCAATTGAAGATTTTAAGTTTCTTAAATATAAGGTTCGCAAAAAACTTTTTCTTTCTTCTTATTATGTTCTTGTTTAATAGTACAACAACCCATTTCTAAAATTTATAAAAAAATATATATTAAAACTCATAATTCTTTAAATTAGTGTTATTTTTGAGGATTAAAATCTTGTTTTGCATATAAAATAGGAAAACAAATTTTGGTATGTTATTTACAATAATCATGAAAGATGAGACTGGATATTTATATTTATTGATTCTCTCTTTCATTTACTCAAGTCTAATAGGAAATTCATAGAACTATTCTTAAAATTTTGAAAAAAGATTCCATAAACTAAACTTATAAATAATTATTACGTATCTCTCAAGATTGATAATCTTAAAAATAACCTTTTAAAAATGAGTATTTTAATAATTAGTTTTCAGATAGAGGTCCTTTTCCCCCATTAATTTTACCTTTAAATCATTCAGAGTATTTAAGGAGACCATTTATACATATCCTTCCAAGTTTAATATGGATTACCAAAAGCATTACCTACACCAATATCTTAATATAAAGGATGATAATCATGAAGAATAAAATTATTTCATCTATTTGATAGTCTTTTTTGAACCCCATCAATGAATGATATCAATATCATCTGCTGGTTATTTATCATTCTTATTATACCAATAAGTAATTCTTTTTTTAGATTTTATTTCATTTTTCCATATTCTTTTTAATTTTTATCTAGAATAAGTCTAAAGTTCAATATAACCAGCAATTTCAATTTATCCATAAATTCTTTTATTGAAGTTCTTTAATTATAACAGCTATATAGTTTCATCTCAGCCAAAATGAACAAATTACACTTTCTCGAACATATCTGCCAAATCTTATAAAACAGATTTAACAAATTCATAAGTTAGATCTAAAGTAATTTCAAATTATCCATATTATTTGACTATGCTTCCACAATTTAAAATAATATGTTTTAAATCACTAATACTCTAAACCAAAGATTAAATATGAGCTGGGGAATCAATTTCTGGTANGGTAATGAGATGGTTTAAATTATTTTTTTAAACAATCTGAATCTCAAAAGTTACTTTTTCCATAGTTTGTTCTTGTGATTTTGATTGAAGAGTTTAGTCTTAAGGCAATTGAAGATTTTAAGTTTCTTAAATATAAGGTTCGCAAAAAACTTTTTCTTTCTTCTTATTATGTTCTTGTTTAATAGTACAACAACCCATTTCTAAAATTTATAAAAAAATATATATTAAAACTCATAATTCTTTAAATTAGTGTTATTTTTGAGGATTAAAATCTTGTTTTGCATATAAAATAGGAAAACAAATTTTGGTATGTTATTTACAATAATCATGAAAGATGAGACTGGATATTTATATTTATTGATTCTCTCTTTCATTTACTCAAGTCTAATAGGAAATTCATAGAACTATTCTTAAAATTTTGAAAAAAGATTCCATAAACTAAACTTATAAATAATTATTACGTATCTCTCAAGATTGATAATCTTAAAAATAACCTTTTAAAAATGAGTATTTTAATAATTAGTTTTCAGATAGAGGTCCTTTTCCCCCATTAATTTTACCTTTAAATCATTCAGAGTATTTAAGGAGACCATTTATACATATCCTTCCAAGTTTAATATGGATTACCAAAAGCATTACCTACACCAATATCTTAATATAAAGGATGATAATCATGAAGAATAAAATTATTTCATCTATTTGATAGTCTTTTTTGAACCCCATCAATGAATGATATCAATATCATCTGCTGGTTATTTATCATTCTTATTATACCAATAAGTAATTCTTTTTTTAGATTTTATTTCATTTTTCCATATTCTTTTTAATTTTTATCTAGAATAAGTCTAAAGTTCAATATAACCAGCAATTTCAATTTATCCATAAATTCTTTTATTGAAGTTCTTTAATTATAACAGCTATATAGTTTCATCTCAGCCAAAATGAACAAATTACACTTTCTCGAACATATCTGCCAAATCTTATAAAACAGATTTAACAAATTCATAAGTTAGATCTAAAGTAATTTCAAATTATCCATATTATTTGACTATGCTTCCACAATTTAAAATAATATGTTTTAAATCACTAATACTCTAAACCAAAGATTAAATATGAGCTGGGGAATCAATTTCTGGTATAATTTGGACTCCTCTAATTGATGTATATTCAATCAAATAGGACACATCAGATTTTGTATAATATTCATTTTAAGAATATTTAGAAGTGTTAGTGATTCGACTATAATTAGTTAAGAGTAAAGCAAACTTTATCATCAGTAATATTCCAATGCATAACATTTATTTATTAATAGCCAAAGCATCAATAATTTTTTCAAAAGTTTAAGAGGTAAAAAGTTTCTAGCTTTGTTAACCATTACTCTTCTATATGTATATACAGATTCATCTAATATTAAATGAGGAACTATGATAATAGGAGAAATAAAAATTAAATTGATCATCTTCAGTTAATTAATTACTTGTATCTAATGCTCTAGCCAAACACCAATGGTTATTCAATATAAATGTTCAAATATTCATTTATTTTTAATATATAAGCTTCTTATTTAATTTTATTGACCCAATATAATTGTTCATCACTTAAGAGATATATTAAATTTTAAAGCACTTTAAATTTTAAGATTGTTGGAATTAATTTTAGTATGTCATTAATCAATCATAATGACGCAATAATTCAATTATATGTTTTGGATGATGATTTACATTTGTGAATGATAATTCACATTTATTAATTATCTTAATAGTTTTTCATCCTTTATAAAGCTATTAAGACATAGGTATTATTGAATGTGCACCAATAATTAAGAGTGCAATTTCAATAATAAATTTCATTTATTAATATATTTATTTTCATTCATTCGATTTCGATTAATCCTTGATTTTCTCTAAAAACTAGAAAATAAATAATTGACTATTTTTTCTATAATATTTATGATTGATAGGAGTGACAGCTAATCATAATTTATCCTCCATCTATATTGATTGTTTAATAAAATAGGATAATTTTTCAGTTTCCTTCAATTTTGGATTCTATAAACTTATTCAATCTAATATTAATTCCTTTTTGCAATTGCATATTTTCTCGTATATAAATTATTGATATGCTTATTTTGAATATTTGTTTCTCTCATTTTAGAACTTCTTCTCCAATGATTATATTTAACGACACTTCTAAAATGGGATGAAGTTCATTTATAAATCTCTTTATATGTGTGATTTACTTAATAAGGATATCCAAATGCATTTCCAATTCCAAAATCTATAAATAAAGGAAAATAATCCATTAATATAATTCAATCTATTTTATCAATAATATAAGGCAATTAATCTTTAAATCCTCACAAACGAATAATATCAAGTGGTAACTTGTCTTCTTTACTACCTTTTCCATAATTACCTTTATCTTTTTCTGTAATAAGATTATAATTCAAAATAATCTTTTATATTATTTTCTAACAGGAACTATTTATTTCATGACTGTATTTGGTCTTTGATCTCAACGAATCTTACTAATATTCTATATGTCTTACAATATTTTTTTTTTCATTTTTACCATATTATTTTGTAATTCATCCACACATTATCATAATATTAGCTATTTATTTAGTCATATACAAACTTATTGAGTGTTAAGGATCATCAAAATTAGTATTATTTATACATCTCTCTTTGATATATATTCTACTATCCTTGAATTATTCAAGAATATATTTTTGTTCTTTTTAATTAGACAAATTTTTCATTTTCCTTTTCGTTTTACTCACATTTAATCATTTATGCAATTAGTTGTATCAATAATTGTATAAAAAGAATTAACTCAATATTTTTCGAAGATTTTTAATTTGTGAGTATTCTATTAAAAAAGTGAGAAAATTTTCATTATCTAATTTATGCCTATTAATTTTATTTATTGAATTCATGAATATAATTCAATAGTTCTGTCAATTTATTACACAAATATTTCTTATTCTATTATAAAGTTTCCTTAAATAATTGTAATTGGGCTCATTATCAATAATCGAAGAAAGATAATTATTCTTTTCTTTTTCACATAATTAATTTAGATTATTTAAAGTCCTAACCAAGCCACAATGATTATTAACTTGAATAACATATATAATTGATGATCAATTTATCATTCTTATCTAGTAGTATTAATTCATAAAAATTGCACCATTTAGTAAATCCTTAAAATTTCATTAATTATGATGCATTAGAGTATGAAAATGTTAAAGTAAAATTAAAATTTTGATAATTCAATAAAATTCCATACTGAAATCTGAATATTTATTGATCATGATTTTTTTAAGCATTTAATAGAACATAATTACAAGGCAGTGGCTCTCAAAAATGAATTAGGCATTAGCATCAAACCATTTGCAATATCAAATATGATTCAGAATACAAAAAGTATAATTGGCTTTCTGAAATAGAGTTAGACAATCTATACTCCAATAATTATGATTAATTAATTAATATAGACTCAGGAAGCCTAAATTCTGAGGAATAAATAAAATATTCATCATTCAAGTCCTTAATGAATAAATATTGGTAATTTGCTCTTTAATTTATCATAATGATTATGTTTGGTATTAAAATCCTTTACTTGATAATCTAAAAAATATTAATTACAAATGGCATTTTAGAAAAAGATGGAATAGTGTTTATTTGAATCCCAATATTGTTTATACATTACTACAATCTTCATTTGCTTGAATAAGTAGTTTTTATTGCATAATTACAATACTCAAGAACAATTAATCATTTTGAAAACTTGAAAATTGATAGCTTTGCTATCAGTTATCCTAAATTAGCTATTGAATCTTCTTACTATTATATTTTCGATGATAAGACAATAAGCTTGATCAAGTTGGCAAAACAAACTGAACAAAAATAACGAATAAGATATCACTTTTTATTAATCTTGTCTATTTTTCGTAAGCTAGATGGTATTTTATGATAGGAGAATGATCAAAATGATATTTTATGATAGAAGGAGTTTCTACTAATCCTATAAATTTGCTAGTCTCAAACTTAATTAGATTAATATTGTAAATAATTATATATAAAATATTAATAAAAATTTATTCACCAATATATTCAATGATGGTATTTCTGTTCTTACTATTATTAAATTAATTTCCTAATAAACATATTTTTCAGATATAAGCTGTTATATTTTGATAAGGATTATTTCAGGTCTCTTCAGATTTAAACTTAATAAATACTTAAGATAATTTTAAGTCTATAATGCTCATTAAATATCATCCTTAACTATAAACCTATCAAAATGGATAATTAATATATAAATATAAATCTTATGATATTGAGGATATTTTCTAAATTTATAACGAGAATTGTTATGATACCTAATAAAATCCAAATATATAAATAATTTTAGCAATTTTGAGCCATATTTTCAATTATATAAAAGCAAATAAAGCAGATGAAATGGTTTTTACATATATATTTATGTTTGATTTATTATAAATAGAATGATTGTTAATAGAGTTTGAGATGAATTAAAAAAATAATAATAAAACTATAGAGTAAGAAGAAAGAAAATAAAGAATTGGAATTTTAGTATAAAGAAATACAAAGATTAAGAATGTAAATAAACTTCAAAAATGAATAATTTAAATATTTTACAGATATAAATATATAAATACTAAAGAATATTAAAGTATTCAAAAAGTGGGAATTGTTGATTATCCAAAATATTTTAAGTATTGTAGAGATTTGAATTTAGAACATAAATTTTGTATTCAATTAATCGGAGAATAGATTAAATGGAGAAATAAGCAGTTAGAGGATAGAATTTGAATAAATATTATATAAAATAAAAAATACAAAAAAATTTAAAATGGCAGAAGCTACACCTGAAATGACATTATAGATATATGCCTAAGCACTTGAAAATTTGGAGAAAGCATATGAAATCTTGCATACTCCTTATTCCAATTTTATGGTTGAGAGCACAAAAATCTTAGTATCACCAGATTATCCAGTTGAAATAAGAATCAATATTGGTGTATTGTTAAGGAATATTTTAATTGAATAATGGGAGTTGATTTAGCCTTGTCGTAAAATAATACGTGAACTTCTTTTAAATGGGTTAGTTATGAATGTGTCAAACATGCCTATCATAGAATTGATTGTAATCTAAAATTAATACATATAAGTCATCAATAATAGTATCCATAATTGTATTAGATCCAAGTCACATATGGCCAAGTCCATTGATGGAACTTTTAAATTGGATGGATGATATAAATGCAGTTGAATCTAGTTTAGAACTCTTCTTATAATTATTTGGTAAATTGAGTGAGACAAATGGAGAGTACTAGAATTTATTGAAAGAAATAGTTCCTTCAGTTCTTGAAAAAGGCTTTGGTATATTTGCATAACCAGAATTAAATGAAATGTTAAGAGAAAAAATATTATTGATGGTATATCTTGTATTAAGATCAATATCTTTTGCTGATGGAACTGACAATTCCGTAATTAACAAATGTTTGGATAATACATTCTAAATATGGATGGTATCAATTATATATATATATATAGTCATTATTTTTATCAGCCTTATAAACATCACCAAAATCACATATCTTTATCAAGAAATTGGTTTTAAAAATATTGATAGTAATTTTTAGAGATTTTGGAGTCTATAGTAGAAAATCTCTCGCTCTTTCTTTAATTCCAATATGGAAATTTTTTAATTCGATAACATAATTATATATAGGACATATAGTGTATCAAATAGATGTGGAACATCTTGATTCATTGTTTGGAGAAGAAAACAAAGAATTGCCAATTAGCAATTAAAGAATCATCAATTTAAAAAATGGTAAATTAATGTAAAGTATATTATGTTAGATATTGAATATAAATATTTGAATGAAGATGATGATTATGAAAATCATATTGAAGGATTATGTGCATATTCTATAGAGTTGATTACTATTTTAGTTACAAAACCAGCTCTTTATAATTTAATTAAATTTGGAACATTTCCATTACTAAATACTTTATCCACATTTTTGACTGCAACTAAAGAATAAGAAAAATAATGGATTAAAGATCCAAGTTATTTTATATTAAATGATGAAGAAGAATTACTATAAAAGAGTGTTAGAACTTTGGCTTTGAAATTAATCAATGATATGATAGAGAAATATGGTGATCAATTTATTCAATAAATTCTTATTGTTGGTGAAAAGTTAATCTTGAATAGAGAGGAAAAAGAATTTATCGATTTGGCATAGTCCATAATTTCTAAATTAAATTTCTAAGAACTAAAAGGATAATAATCAAAAGATTTTGATCAAGATAGTGTTATGCAATTTATGAAAGGTTCCATTATCACTATTAATAATAATCATTATCTGAAATCATTCATTTAAAAAAGAAAGGAAGCTGGTTATTTAATGTTGGGAAGTTTTTCAGAAGACATAATTGTATTTTAATAGAAGCATTAAAGCACTTTTGATATAAAAAAGTGTATGTAAAATATACTTTATGAATTAGAAAAATAAAGTATATACTAAATATATTTATATATTATTAGATTCTCACAGTTTATAAGCAAGAGCTATTTGGAGTACAACAAGATATTCAGATTTAATTAGTCATTAATTCAAAGAATTATTTGTACCTCTTTTTGAATCTGTTATTATTTATTTAGATTCAAAATATCCAATTACTTTGAGAATTATTTCAGTCAAAGCTTTAGGAAAGTAAGAGAATGTTTATATTTTAGTTATGCTTCAAAAATTCATAAATTTAATATACCTTTTGAATATAAATAAGAGTTTATGGAATCAGTGTTAACTGTTCTTTAAGAAGCAACTCAAGATTAAATGATTTCTATTTTAGAATCAACAATAAATTTAGTTAAATTCTCATCTACTTTGGCTACTACTTTAGCAAAGAATGGATCTAAAGTTTTACTATAGTTTTTTAGTGTTTTCCATTCAGAATAATGTGTTATTAAACCATTTAATGAATTAATAGTTAGAATATGTTAATGTAAAGAGGCTTATCCTCATATTTTTGAAGTACTTGTGATTATTTATTGAAGGTTTTTTGTCCATTCATTTTAGATTGTTTTTAGGTATTCTATGAAGATGTACATAAAATATAAGATAAAAGTAAGATTAAATAAAGTGATATATCATTGATGAGTGCTATCATGAATATTACATCAACATTTATTAAATTCTGTTCAGATAGTAAGGCTTAAGATGCTTTTATTAATTTATTACCTTCAATGGTTAATTTAATATTGATTAATGAAGATCCTTAATTACAAGTTCATACTAGTTAATGTCTCAAGAATTTTATTATTATTGAAACTGGATAAATTTTAAAAATGTAATCTATTTTAATATAAATTTAGGAATTTAGTTTAAGATGTAATGAAAGTAAATTTAAAATTATTGGAAGTTCCATAAAATTCTGCTAATGAATCAGCTTCATTATTTGCAGGCAATTTAGTTATGATTACTATTAATAATCTATTAGATGGAAATCCTGATCTTAATTTACTGAAAGCAGTTGTTTTTAAAATTTATAGGTCTAGAATGCCATCAACCGTTTAATCTTTAGTTTTAGTTTATGCTAGAATGATAATTGAAAAACCAAAAGAATCAATAGCATTTTTAACTTCTTGGAGTATTGATAATAGAATGGCACTAAAAGTTTTAATTGATAAATGGTTATTATAATAACCTTTGTTTAGAGGAAAAGGAACTAAAAATGCCACTTTTTCTGCTCTAATGAAATTATTTTTAGTTAAAGATAAAACTCTAGAAAATTTATTAGTTATTGGATATAATCCTAGTCATTAGAATATTAATAGTGGTAATTATTAATAATAAATTATAAGATGTATATGCACCATTTAAAATTCTATCTTTACTTATTCGTTGTCTTGATAATGAAATCGTACCTTAAAAATAAGATAATATTTAATAATAAGAAGATGATCGATTAGAAGTTGACAATGATGAAGATGATTATAATGATAAAAAAAATCAAGATTAAGTTGATGTAGATTTAGAAAAAATTAAAGATGATGAAGATCAAGATATTGCAGATAGATTTGCTGTATTATTACAATTTCTATTATTTAGTTATTAGATCCAAAAGAAAAAAAAGATAAAGGATTAGCAGATTTAGAAACAGGATCAACTTTGTATATGAGTGAATTCTTAGATTTTAACCAAGAAGTAGGAGAAGAATGCGATGAAACAACTGAAGAAGATTTAACTTATTTGAAAGATCCATGTTTAAATATAAATCTTGTGGTAACTCCTATATATTTATATGTTAAAGGATTCTCTTAAAGAATTTTTCACAAATTTATTAAAAAATGACCAAGAATATTTCAGGTTTTGCTTACGCCATCTTCTCAAGGAGGACATACTCTTATTATAGAAGCATATAAAACTAAACTTCTGATTAGTTTCATTAATAAATATAATAAAATAGTTCATCATAAATCTTTAGAGAAGATTTTCTCAATCATTTTATTATATAGTTTTAAGCTTTTATCTTAATCTGATTAATTCTCTATTTTATAATAGACAATTTTCTTTTTTAAAAGACTTTAAATTTTAAAACTCTCAAAATCCTTTAATAGTTTATATTCATTTAATTGCTGGCATGTGCTCTCATTTAATATTTTTATTGTTTTTCTGAAACGTAAGCTTTAGTTATCATAATCTAGAAATAATCACTTCTTAACAATCATAAATTTATTAAATTCTATATCAGATATAAAGAGCAATCTTTATGATCTAAGAAAACAATCAAGTGTGAATCTTAAATTATTAAATTAAATATCAGCTCTGAATTTATTATCAATCCTAAACTTTTGTATAATAGAATTTGATTCATAAAATATGTAATTATTCTCCAAAAATATTTATCTTTATAAAATAGATTAATGAAATTAGCTATCTTTTAATATACTTTATTGTCTCTTTTTTTATGGTTTTGATCTTTAACATCTTTTTAAAAAAGTCATGATTAAATTGAGTTATTCTATGATCTTTAAATATTTGTACAAATCATTTATTTTATTTCATTTCTTACTCAGCCATAATCTTTAACATTTATTTATATGTAATTCATTTTTAAACTACATATTTCCATCTTTCCAATTTGATTTAAAGCATCTTTTTTAAATTTAATATTTTATTAGTTAATAATATGTATCATTTCTGATTTCTAAAACTGAAAAAGCATCTAATTTGTATTCCTCATATAATTTCTTTATAAATAATTAACTTATACTTGGTATAAATTTTTTAATTCTATTCTTCTACTTTTCATCTAAATAGACTTCTTATTCAATCTGATTAAGTAGTTAATTTTTTAAGAATCGAATTTAGTTTTTTCCAATTTTTTAAATTTATTGATAGAAGTTTAAGCTAAGTTTATTGCTAAACACAATCTTATCATTTTTTGAACTATAAATTTTTTCTTAGTTTATATAACTTTTTTAATCTAACTCATAATTGACTTTATCTTTTTTCAATCTATCATTTTTTTGAGGTTTAATCTAGAATTGGGTGTATTTAAATGTTTGAATAGGTAGTCCTATTACACAAGTTCTTTTTAGAATGAAAAATTAGATAAATAAAACTTTTTGAGATCAGGATATTTCTTTTAGATAAACATGTTGATATGTTAATCTGTGAATTGATTGAAATTGCCTTAGAAATAAAGTAATATTTAATTTATTAGAGTTTAAATGGTAATGAAAGTAACAATTACTTCATTTGATATGAAATTGTAATATAAATAATTTAAGTGGATTAAGATCTAACTAATTTATTAATAAAAATAAAAAATAAAAAATAAAAAATTGCTTTGTAAGATGAAAAAACAAAAAAAGATTAGGTAATTATAAAATAATAATAATAGAAAAATTAATCGTCGAGTGATTTAAGTAACATAAATATTAAAGGAAGAGTTATTAGATTCATGGGTGAATACCAATGAGTATTTATTGTCAAAGTTAGATATTCCTACAAGTTTTAATTGTTAAGCTCCTGGATCAATGTTGGAAATTTTCTTAGAAATGTGAATAAAATAAATCTTTCTTCTTTATTATAATAATTATTGGGGTGGATAGTAGAAGTTGAAAGAGTATTGTTTAGATCGACTATAATATTCAGCTTGGCAATCTAAAATAAATGATATTTAAGGGTACTATATATATTTTTAAAATTTGAAATATAATAAATAAATGAATAATTTTGAAAAGGTTGAAGCTTTTGGATAATTGCCATAAGCTAGGTTTGGCCATACAATAACATATATTGCAAAAGGAAAGGCAATATTATTTGGGGGTAATAGAGAATAATTAAATGGCAGGCGCGACTGGTGACACAGGGAAATATAGTATTACAGGAGATACTTTTTCATTCGATATGTAAAGTAAATAGTGGAAGAGAGTAGAAGGTATATAAAATATTGAGATGAATAGTATAGGGAACAGCACCATCTCCTCGAGCAGCACATTCAGCTGTTTGTGTTGATATAAATTAAATAGTAATATATGGAGGAGCAACAGGAGGTAATTTCTAGATTAATTATTATAGGTGGTAGTCTAGCATCAGATGATCTTTATTTATTAGATTTAAGATCAAATGATGATATTGGACAATGGACTGTAGTTCCAGTAGTAGGAACAACTCCAGGTAGAAGGTATGGTCATACCTTAACCTTTACAAAACCATTTTTAATAGTCTTTGGAGGTAATACTGGATAGGAACCAGTTAATGATTGCTGTATGAATAATACATTTAAATTTAGGGTGTGTAAATGTAGAAAAGAGTCCTATTACTTGGGCTAGATTAGAATGTAAATCTGAATAACCATTAGCAAGAGTTTATCATTCTGCTAGTATTTGCACTAATGGAAGTGCTAATGGAATGGTTGTAGCATTTGGGGGACGTTCTAATGATTAATTAGCATTAAATGATGCTTGGGGATTAAGGAGACATAGAGATGGAAGATGGGATTGGGTCAAAGCTCCATATAAAATTGATAAAGAGTAACCTGTTGGAAGATATTAACATACTACATTGTTTGTTTATAGCATGCTCGTTGTTATTGGAGGAAGAACTGGAAATGTTGGAGAAACTTTGACTATTGATGTTTATGATACTGAAACATCAGAATGGTCCAAATTTAACAGTATTTAAAGATTTAGGCATTCATCTTGGTTAGTTGACACCAGTATCTTTGTCTATGGAGGATTTGAATTAGATTCACCAAATATTCCTACAGATATAATATCTAAGATTAATTTAAATAGATTACTATTACCAAGTGAAATATTAACTAATAAATTAGCCTAATACTAGCATGCTTAAAGAAAGTATTATCTTATTTTAATTTATAAGTGTATCACCATAATCATTATCACCATAAATGACACCAGTATCTCCAGATACTTAAGCCTCTCCTTTGAATAATTCTTTGATTCAAAAAAAAGCAGGTTAAAATAATTAAACTATACAAAAATAATAAAAACCATTTGCTTAAAATTAAACAGATAAATCTTAGTTTAAATTTATAAATTAAGCAGTAATTGCTGAAGAAGCACGGGATTCAAAAGCTCCTAATAAAAAGGGACGAGTACCTTAAAGTGCTTAAGAAAACAATATTGCTCATATATTTATAAATACATTATTATAACCTAAGACATTCATAAATATTTCAGAAAATGCAAAATTTTTATTTTAAGCTTAACATATAATTATGTTATGTGATTAAGCAGAAGCAATTTTAAAAGAATAACCTATGGTTTTAAGATGTAAAGCTCCAATAAAGATTTTTGGAGATATTCATGGGTAGTATTCAGATTTAATGAGATTTTTCGATTTATGGGGATCTCCTTTTGTTGATGGTAAGGATAGTGATATTGAAGCATTTGATTATCTATTTCTTGGGGATTTTGTTGATAGAGGTAATCATTCTTTAGAAACAATCTGTTTATTATTGGCTTTAAAGGTAAGATTTCCAGAATCAATCCATTTAATAAGAGGAAATCATGAAGATAAATGGATAAATAATGGTTTTGGATTTTCAGAGGAATGTGCTTAAAGATTAGGTGAAGATCCTAATGATGAAGATTCAGTTTTCGCAAGAGTAAATAGATTATTTGAATGGTTACCATTAGCAGCAATAGTAGAAGATAAAATTATATGTCTTCACGGAGGAATTGGTAGTTAATTAAATTATGTTGCTGAAATAGAAAATCTATAAAGACCTTTAGAAGTGATTCATGAAGTCACAACTCCTGAATAATAATTAGTAGTAGATATTTTATGGTCAGATCCAACTGATACAGATTAAGATTTTGGAATTTAGCCAAATATTATTAGAGATCCTGCAGGTACTGGAAATATAGTAAAATTTGGACCAGATAGAGTTATTAATTTCTTAATTAAAAATAATCTCTCTTTAATTATTCGTGCACATGAATGTGTTATGGATGGATTTGAAAGATTTGCTGGTATTTATTTATTTATTATTTTTATATAGGAGGTTAATTACTAACTGTTTTTAGTGCAACCGATTATTGTGGTAGACATAAAAATGCAGGTGCTGTTCTTATTCTTAAAAGAAACTTAGAAATAGTACCAAAATTAATATATCCTTAAAATCTTAATGCTCATAATTGGATTGAGGATGAAGAAGCTCTAAAAAAGAGACCACCTACTCCACCTCGTTGGAAAAATTAGGGTCAACGTAGAAGTTATGATTGATTTTTATGTTATCGTTTTATTCATAAATTTTAATAAAAAAAAAACAGTAAACTTATTTTCATTAACTCATTGTACTTTTTAAAATACCTTTCTTAGGATAACAATCTTATCTTATCAATTTCTTTATCATTGTCTCTTAAGGAACAAAATGATGTATTTTATCCTCTGTAAATCTAATTTTACATTTATCCGTTAAAACATCATCTGCTTCTCTCAACCATTTACGATTAACTAAATTCAGTATATACTTTCTATATCTGCTTATTTCTTTAGATGACAAATTAAAATGAGTTTTACAAACAGGTTTTGTTCTTGTTTTAATCATTAACAAATTCTTACTAAATTAAAATATTATTAAATTTATTGCCTAAGCTATATTTAAATAATAAAACGATGTCATCAACTCTTAAAAAGTCAACTAATCTTAAAACAGGCAATAAAATGACCAGATCTATCAATAATTTATCCATTTTTAAATAGGATTCCTCTAAAATCATTAAAACACAAAATATTAAAAATGACTATTACATTTAACTTTCTCCTAGACTAGAAACCTAAAATCTCACCTTTACTAACTCTATTAAAAAGTTTAAAATCATCTAACAGAGTGACTCTTTAGTTGAAACTTAATCCAAGCCTCAATAGACTTAGAGGGATAAAATCAAAAAATTAGTAAATAAAATGACCAATTCATGCATAAATAATTAATGCTTCTATTAAATGAAATCATCATTCAAAAAATGAAACAAATAATTGAAAAAATATTGATTTATCATATTTATGATATAAAAATAATCTAAAATTTCAAATTATGCTTATTTATTTTATTACATCGGTTCAGTCGTGAAATGATAATATATAGATAATATTTATACAATAATTATCCTTAAAATACTTTTATCAAATTTGTTCTATAAGAATAAATAAATATCAGAAATTTCATACAGAATCATGGTTTCAACCTAAGTTTAGAAAAAATAAATTGTATTGTTTTACACTTTTTAAAAAGATTAAGCATTTATCTTTAAACAATTATCTTTTAAACAATTAAGCGTTAAAGCTATAAACTCTTAAGTATTTTTTTTCTAATATTTAAAATAAATTGATTACTATAACCATAAGATATCATTATTTTTTGTCCTTCTTATATTATACAATTATTTACAATTATTTGAGGATTTCAATTTAAACTTTTTTTGGGATTGCTATTAATATAAAATTGATTAAATTCCAAATATATTGCTCTTTTTAATTTCTCTAAGCTCTTAATAAAATAATATTTGTAATTTATTTAAATATTCAATTTATTCTTTTACTAACAATTCTTCATAATATATTTCTAACTTTATCTTCATTCTTCTCGCTAAACTTTGTTAAAACCATCATTTTGACACAAAATTTTTTTAATATTTATTAATATTTTCTTAGCCAATAAATTAGTAAAATTTTACTAATATGTTTTAGTTAAAGTTTTTGGTACTTTTTTAACTTCTTAAATCAGCAGGATTGAATTTCTTACCAGTTAAAACAAAATCATTAGCCTTTAATTCTTGATTAATTTATGCAATATCAAATTTAATTTTAGAATTATTAGTCATGCAAGAAAACTTAAATTGAAGAGAAATAATTTTATTTCTATCAAGTAAGCTAATTGGTGAAAATCATATTTAAAAATTCCAATTCGCTTAATTATGATAAGGAATAAGTGAATATGTTACGAAATCTTCAAATCCAAAATATTAGTGACTTAAATAAAGTTTATTTTTTATCATTATCTTTAAAGAATAATTTTTATCAAATTAAATGATACAAAATATAAATAAGTTAATTTAGTTAGATGATAATTTCATATTATTATTTTGCTCATCTAGAGTCTTATTTGAATAACTTAATTCACAATTTATTAAAAAAATGTAATTTGTATAGTTAATTGAATAATTTATGACCTTCAATTATTAAGAATTTCTATAAATTAATTTTATAATACTTCGGTACATTTAGAATTTTCAGATTTTGATTTATTTAGACTAACTTCTTAATAATATAAAGTGTAAAATTACATATAATTTAATTTGAAGTAATGCCAGAATAGGCTTAGTATAAATTATAAATATATTCTGAAACTTCGCTTAAAGGATGGTACATTAACATTTCTTTTCAGCAATAATTATACATTATTAATTGATGTTTGGGTGGATCAGTGTATTGTATGAAGTCACTCCTTTCAAGAATTATTTTCATGATGAATTAATAATTTTTATTTTAAAATTATAATGTTTACTAAAGTAAATATGAAAAATAAATTCGCATTCTTATTAAATGTTTTAAATGTTATCTAAATTCTCACTTAATACTAACTTAATGGAAGTAATTTTAGTATAAGAATAAGAAATTTTTAAATATAAAATAATTCTCGAGATAAATGATATTAAGTATAGCTTTAATAATTTAAATGATTATTTAGTATTTATAAATCAAATTATTAAGATACTTTTAATCATTTAAGTTATTCTAAAAACTTATAAGGATTTTAGATAAATATATTTAAAGATCAAATTTACAAAAAAAAAATAGAACTCAGATAGTTTTTGAAAGCTCTAAATTTTAACAAGCTAGGATATTCTATAAAACAAAGTTTGTTGAACTTTGAGATCAAAATTGATATCTCAAAGAAACAGAATTTAACTAATTAATCAATTTATAATCTGAATGAATCAGAGAGATGAATTTTTTAGACGTTTGAAAGAACTAACAGGGTAATTATTTTTAGTATAAAATTATATTATTTATTAAGGATTCATCTTTCGCTTGATTTTGATTATAGAGGTCTGAAACTATTCATTGGAAATTAATACTTGATATATTAATTTTTTATCTTAATCAATTTAAACTTTTTGATATCATTAATGTAATAAAGAATATGATGGAATATTTATGTTAATTATTATTTGAAATTAATTTTTTGTTATTCATTTAATTTATAATTACAAGATTTATTTTAAATCTATATAAAAATCTATTTGATAGACTTTATATCAAATTGAGGAAAGATTCTATTAGAAAAATTATTTTTCTATTTTTTTCAATAGGAAAAGTGACAGAAAATATATTTTATAAAAAAGTCAATATTGCAGAAAATTATGATTAAATTATTCAAAATTCTTTATTAGAAACGAACAGATTTGATTCAGGCTAGAATCTTGCGAGTTAATATGAAAATATTTATTATAACTAAAGAATTTGAAAGCATTTCAATATTGTTAATTGATACTAATATTAAAGTAATGGTGTTAAATTATTTAATTTCTTAATGGATGTATTGCTGAGCTTAAATTTTTTTTTTAAAGGTATATTAGCTAGTTTATAAAATTAGAGTCATTTATGTTAACATTTAGGCAATTAAAAAATTCAATTATCCTAGAAGACTATTTAAATAACTTCTCTCTTATTTTGTTCTTCTATGTTTAATCATTATAGAATTTGTAATGCAAATTCAAATACACCTCATTATTTGATTCATAAAAATAAGGTTTTTCAAATTTTGTACAACCTTTTTGTATATCAAAAAAATAGTAGATTAAATTATTTGATTTTTCATTTTATAACATTTTTTTACTAAATTCCTAATTCAATTATCATATATTTTCTCGTTTACTATTTTTAATCAATCTATCATAAGATTTTAGATTTACGTGTAATCATTTTATGTTAAACTTTCAAATAAGATTATCAATAAATTCAAAGCAATTAGTAGATAATTTTTATATTTGCTATTCTATTCAAAATTTAGATTTTCTATGCATTAAATAAAATTTATTTCAATCCAATGATAGTGATATTTTCAAAAATTTTTCTCTATATGGATTTGTTATTTGTTAGATTTTTCTTATAGATATTGATTAAATGAGATTAAAATAGTTTTTAAAAATAAAATATAATTCGTAAATTTGTAAAATGAATATATATAGACTTAGTATATGTTTCGACCATTAGACTATTTTTATAGAGCTTTTAAAATATTTTTATTAAGAAAAAAATTGTTCATAATTCTTTTTAGTGACCTGATTGTATGCTTCTTCATTTTTGGAAAAAATAAGAAGTGTATATATATATCAAAGAGGAGATTAAAGAATTTATACGACATTAATCTAGCATTTTATATTTAATTGAGAATGTATGAAATTATTTTCTAGATTTAGTTTAATCTTCAACAGTGATATAAGCCATAGATGTTTAGCGTAAAAATAGTTTGTAGAGAAGAAATAATAAATTATTAGTTAAAGTAAAAGTAAGAGAAGATTTATTCAAAAAAAAAAAATTATATTGTAAATATCTGATATCACTTAAATATTGGGAATAATGAATTTATGCAGTGAGTAGAAATATATGGAATTCATAATTATTCCATAATCATATTGGGGGTATTTAAGAAGATTTTTCTTTAAATAAATTTTAATACATAAAATGTAAACCCCCTAAATTCCAGCCGTAGTTTCTATAAGACCCTTCACAGTTCCAAGTAGATACTTGTCAACAGCAACAAACAGATCAAGATGTTTAGGAGAAGATTTTGATGTTAGAATTGCTAACTAAGCTACAGAAAATGCTTATTTCTTATTAGAACATGTGAATGGTGCAGTTTATAGAATAAAGCCAGCTACACATCCAGATCATTTTGTGTTCTGTTCAAATGACAATGCTAGAAAATTCGGAAATGATTTTGATGTCAGAACTCATCATTATGCGGAGCCAAGAAATAATTGGATTATAGAAAATGTAGGATGGAGTACATTCACAATTAGATCTGAAACAAATCCAAACTTTTACCTTTTCGCAGCAGATGATAATTCAAATGCTCACTAAGGAGAATTAGATGTTAGAACTCATGCTCACTAAGAAGAAAGAAATCTTTGGTTCATAGTTACAGTACCAAATATCGTTCATCCATATCCTCTTTTACATTAACCACCTGTTGTTTCTTTAAGACCAATTCTTTTACAATAACATTTCCTTACTTTTGCAGAACCACATTAATAATTCTAAACTGATTTTGCAGTCAAAGCAAG